CTGTAAATCTTCACCCAAATCAAAATAAAATTAAAAAAAAAATTTACATGACTCTGATTAAAAAGGAAATATGGAATGTTTCTGCTTTATCCTATAAGATGTCCTCTTAACAGTTTGATATATTTATTTTCTAGGAAAAGCTACCATTTTAATATTGAAATCCTTGGCAATAGTTGAAAAAACAGATTTGTTACAAAAATAAAAATTTATTAAATTTTATTAGATGGAACAATCCTGAGATAAGAAAATTATTGCCAGTTATTGCAATATTAATATTGTAGTGATTTGCTTATGTTAAAAGCACCCTTATAATGCTATTTATGACTTAAAACTGTATTTTATTCTCTTTTCAACTACAGATGGGCAGATATTGTTACTGATCTAAACACTCAAAATCCTGAATATCTGGATATCCGGCACTTGGAGAGGGGACTGCAGTATCGAAAAACAAAGAAGGTAAGAACACCATTGTATCTGAATCTGTTTCCCAGTTGATCAGCAGTGTGTGTATGGTGTAGTGAATTACATGGTATAGTTTTTCTAGCCATGGTCTTTGTAACGCTAACTAGATTACCAGGTGGGACCATGCAAATATGTATCAACTTGGCTGGGCAGCTAGTACTAATTATTACCTACAGTGAGACTGGGAATTAACTCAGTAGTGGAATTTGCTGTGAGGAACTGAGTAGCTGCTTTTAAATTCCTGACTGTTAAAGTCATCTACCTGGGATATTTCTCTTGGAATGGCACAAAGTAATCTTCTGGGAAAGTTTGCTCTCTCTCAGGTGTGTGGAACTCTGATGTTGGGATTGGTTAGTTTTGCCACTCTGTGAGGCTTAAAATGAGCCCTCCTAGAGGCAGAGGGGGAATCTCACTGCCAGCTTAGAGAGACACCTGGCTGAGAGAGCCACCCAGCTGAGAGAGATGTCCATCTGAGAGATGGCAGCAGTGAAACCAAGAGACACAAGACATTGGTAGGCTTACTTGGCCTGCAGAGGCAGGCTGAGAAGCGAAGGGCCAAAGAAACATGTCTAGGGACACAGCAGAGGGGAGACTGTCCTCATGGAAGAACTATATCCTGAGTGCGTTCTTGAACTTGAATTGCACCCTGTTGCTTCTATAATAAACCCCATAATCTGTGAGTTCTGTATGGCCACTGCAGAGAATTATCGAACCTAGCAGAGAGGTTACCGTGAGTGGGATGGTTGGTGTAAAGGATGGTAAGAGGGTTGGAGGGTGGCAGCATGTCTGGCCTCATAGGAACAGGCCTTGGGCTGCTGATGGTGATTCTGTCTTCCTCTTGTGAAGTTAGAGGAGGTCAGAAGATGCCACCTCCTTGCCCCGTTAGCAGTGTGTTTTACTAAATGCTTTGTTGTTGTTGTTATGTGCTGTTGAATTGGACCTGACTCATAGCGACCCCTCCTTGGGTTTTTGAGGCAGTATCACTATGGATTGCCCAACCTTCCTTCTGAGGAGTGGCTGGTAGGTTTGAACCTCCACTCTTTTGGTTAGTAGTCAAGTGCCTTAGGCACTATGCTACCAGAGCTTAGGATGTAAATAACACAAACCCACTTCAGACTATCTTAAACAGAAAAGGGAAAATTAATTTAAGGGCAAAGGTGTATCTTTAAAGCCCAAGGGAAAGGAATATAGCCTGGATTCATAAGAGATTGTTACTAGGTATTGGAATGATGGACCAAGTAGCTCGCTAGTCTGTTTTCACTCTTTTGTGGGTTACGTGTTATTCCTATTATTCTTTTTGTCCAGTTATTTATTTTCTGAGGCTCATCCTCTTGGAATTTACATCTCCTTTTCAGAACAGTCCAGACCGAGACTGAGGCGCCTTAAGGCCAATTCTATAGTCCTGAGAGAAAATGAGTAAGATTAATGTAGCTTGGATTGGGTGTTCACTCCTGATCCACATTAACTGTTCATAAGGGAGAGTCATGTGGTGGTACAAATAAGACTGTTGGGGGCAGTTGTCACAGAAGGGTTGATCCTGTGGACTGAATAGATATTCCATTGATGTAACTGTACTAATATATGGAGAACATATGGAAGAGAGATAATGAGGAAGACCTGGGATTTAAATTATGCAGATGAGTAAATGTGTGTGTGAGTAGTGGAAGCATGTGGGGGAAGGTGTTTGGTTTCTGTGGGCATTGTCATATTTTGTAAAGGCAGCTGGTCAGGAAGGATTCAATAATGTGCTCTGATGATATCTGAAAGGTAATGTACTATTTGAGGCAGGTGAAGGGGTAATAGTTTATAGAGACAGAAATATAAGTATAATTAATTTCCCTTCATTTTTTTCACCCAACTTTTTTTTCTCTCAGGTTGGGGGAAACTTGCATTGCATCATAGCATTCCAGAGACTTAATTGGCAAAGATTTGGCCTTTGGAACTTTCCTTTTGGAACGATTAGACAAGAATCACAACCTCTACCATATGCCCAGGGAATTGCCAAATCTGAGAGTGAAGACAATATCTCCAAGAAGCAGCATGGGCGTCTGGGCCGGTCTTTCAGTGCTAGTTTCCATCAGGATTCATCATGGAAAAAGATGTCTAGTATCCATGAGAGAAGGAACAGTGGCTACCAGGGTTATGGTGATTATGATGGGAATGATTGACTATGCTGGGTACTGAACAATTGGTATATAAAACTTGTATGTACAACTGGTATATTACAGCTGTATCAAGATTGTAAGAGATCTTATTAAGTATACATTAAATATGAATAGATCTTGTGATACAAATATAACCTTATAGTTCTCCAGTAAATAAGCTTATATATGATTATGATGGATGATCTCAGATGTATGAGCAGATAAGCACAGATTATTGTCCTTTTAAAGTTAAGGGTATAAACAATCAGGATAAAAAGTTTCACAAAATCCAATTAAATTATGACTGCTATTTAAAATAAGTCAAACACAAACTTAGTAGTATCAAGATGTGAAATACTTAAGCATGACATGATTACATTCCCTAGACTGTTTTACTCTTAAGATCAAAATGTTAAAGTACAGTCTGCCCTTTTGAAAAAAGTTGGGATTATCAATTTCTAGTATCTTTTCTTATGGTAAAAAAGCCCATTTAAAATTGTTTAGTAGGCCTAGTGGATATTTTACATGTAGTAGTATTTTGGCTGCTTCATTGATTTGCTGGTTAGCTTTCTTAGGATTCTCAATTAAGAGGTAAAAGAAAAAAGACTCAAGAAACTAATCATTTTTATTGGTGCAAAAGGGTGACTTCTGCATTGATTCAAGATAGTCTTGACTTTCCTGACTTGGTATGTTACCATCAAATATTACAGGAGCTTTAGGTATTGAAAGAGATCTATAAATCCAGAATAAACACTATTTAGGTGTAGAGTAAAAGAGCAAGGTGAAAGTGAAGTTTTTATACCCAAGGTGATGCAAATGAGACCTCATATTTGATAAACTACTTGCTAGAGAATCATATGGTATTAAAAGCATTAAAAATGCATTAGGAATGCCCAAGTCATTCAGAGTACAGCAATCCATACTCTGTTTTAAACTTTGAGCTGTTTCTTTTTTTAAACAAATAGACAATTAGCTGTTTAAAATAAGTGTAAAATTTTCAGAAAATTATGGATTTCATGTATTTGAGCTATCTTTAGCTGCTATGGATTTTTTTTTTTTCTGCTGCTAACCTGTGGCTCACAAAAGACTAGAATGTCTTGTTTTCATTTCAGAGGCTTGTTCCAGGACTCAAATCAGTAACTTGGTTGTTACAAGGTGCTGAATGTTAATAATCATATTGCAATACACCTCAAAGAGAAGGTTTAGGTTTTCTTTAAAAAATATTTTTGTTTTTCCTCTTTTGAATTTTTTATCCATTTATTCACTCATAAATGCCAAGCCTACAGAAGGGGTTATATATTATGAAATGGTCATATTTCTGAAGATAATATTTTGCTTGAAATGCAAAGAACTGACAGATTTGTAGGTTGTTGATTTTGTTACTTCATACTGGACTTTTAAAAAGTTTTCATCAAATAAAGTTTTGTTTTCTACTTTTATTCATGTGAATGTATTTGAACCTTTGTTTTGGGTACAGAGAACTCTTATAAAAATTTTGTTTGAAAACATAATAATTTGTCAGTTCTGCCTAAGTAGTGTGTTATAAGAAACCACCTCCTATCTGTGTTTTCTAATCAGTGAAACAACAGAAAATGAAATTAATAGTAAAAACAATGACTAATTTTAGATTTATATGAAACTTTATGATAGGAAATAGAAAATTCAATTCTTATATTAGCTTGAATCAAATGAAGTTGCCATTTTTTAGGTCAAACACAGGTTAGATATCAGCAATTTCATATAGTTCAACTGAGTATTTCAGAAAAAAGCCAAGAGGAAAGGAAATAGATGTAAAACAAATTAAGAAAAATATTATAGTAACACCCATGAACGAAGGATGAATTTATGCAGACTATTTATTGACCACGATCAATATTTATAAGTCTTGATATATATGATCACTTAATAACTTGGCTGACAAGTTTAGCAGTTATTAAGGACAAAGATTTACAGAACCTGTTTTTCCAGAAACTTAGGCAAGAGTTACTGCATACTTCTTTTCCAAGATCACTAACATTCCTGTCATATTTGATTTCTTGGTCATCTCTTTTTAGGGATCGCCATAGAAGCATGAAGGTTCAGATCTTGGTTCTGTACTTAATAGCTGTGTGGTTTGAGCAAGTTAAGATTAATTTTTCTGGCAGGGACTTCCAGTAAGATGGCAGAATAGGCACTGAAGCGCTGCAGAGCCTCTTCAACAAAAAAAAGATAAACCAATTAACACAAATACAAAAGATAATCCTGGAGGCCTGAGCTTTGAAAGTATGGACAGAAGTGGACTAAAACCAACTAATTGAACAACCTGAATGAAAACAGTGAATAAGGAGACAAACAGAGTTGTGGCTGTTAGCAATCCTGACAGCATGGACAGCCTGAATATTTCCAGGTGTTGTCAGGACCTGAGAATTAACATGAAAATCGGCCCTGCTCACCAAGGGCAGCATGGACAGCTGAACTAGTGGCTGATGACTAAAAAGAGAAACAGCAAAGAAGGAGACAAACTGAGCTGTGGACTTTTGGCTGTCTGGAGGGCACAGCCATTTTGAATGTTTACAGACGGTGGTCATTTTGGATATTTAAAGTGACAGCATTTTCATTCAGATTCCAGGGACCTAAGAATAGGCTCTGCTTGCCAAGACAGCATGGACATACAGGAGGCTAACGACTGGAAAGGGCATAGGTGGTCACTGCATAAGTGCTGCCAACTAGAAAATAGAGGAGTACAATAGCCTGCTTACTCAGAGAGTATCCAAACACAACAAAGAAAATGAAAATCTTGGGTGAATAACTACAACATACAATCACCAATTAAATATAAACACAAAAGTGTCACAATGTCTCAGAGACAACAGACCATCACTCTCCACACAAAGAAGCAAGATAAAGCAGTAGAAACAAGGGAGCAGGATACAGACCCAGAACACATCCCTGAGGAAGACGCAGCATTGGAACTCCCTGATAAGGAATTCAAAAGAATTATATTTGGGTACTTTCAACAGATAGATAAATAGATCGAGGAAAACACTGACAAAATTGAGGAAAACACAGAGAAAACTCTAGAACAATTTTGGAAGAAAATACAAGAACAAAATGACAAATGAAAAATTAGAAATGATACAAAATCAACAGATAGAAATCTAGAAGATTAATACTAAATTTTTAGAAATAGATAACACATCGAAAAGGCAAAGGAGTAGAATTGAGTCAATGGAAGACAGAATTAGTGAGATTGAAGATAAACACTTCAACACTTCTTTGGAAAGGGATCATCAGAAAAAAATAGGAAAGAAAATGAAGAAAGCCTAAGGTTCATATGGGATACATCAAAAGTAATAACCTACATGTAATCGGAATTCCAGAACACGAAGAGAGAAAACCACAGAGAAAACTGTTGAAGATTTTTTGGAAGAGAATTTCCCTGATATGATGCAAGATGAGAATATATCCATCCAAGAAGTCTGATGAACCCCAAACAGGATAGACCCGAAAAGAAAATCACCAAGACCTATCATCATCAAACTCACCAAAACCAAAGACAAAGAAAGAATCCTGAAAGCAGCACAAGAAAAACGAAAATTTACCTACAAAGGGCAACCAATAAGACTAAGCTCTGATTTCTTGGAAGGAACCACACAGGCAAGAAGTCAATGGGATGGAATATATACCCAGGAAAATTGTCCCTCAAATATGATGGTGAAATGAGGACATTTCCAGGTAAGCAGAACTTAAGAGAATTTTTTAAAACCAGACCAACCTTACAAGAGATGCTTAAAGGGAGTCTTTTGGACAGGGAACCAACAACAGCAAACAACAACCGATCGTTAACACACATAATGACACAACCCAGAAACCAATCAATTATGGAAATACCCAAAGTAAAGAAGCTTACAGTATTGTAAACAGGGAACCAGAGACATCAATTGACAAATGAGGACAGCTATAAACCAAAAAGGGAGAAAAAAATAGTGTAGTTCCAGAACTTTTCCATGATGAGGAAGTCAAGACAATTGCAAGATAGAATGGTTTGTTCTAAACTTGGGAAGAAAATGATAAATCACAGGGTAACCTCAAAGAAAAATGATAAACCTTCACACCAAAATAAAAAATAGGACAAGCACAAATATTCAGCAAATACTAAATAGCAACGAAAGAAGTGATACCATGATTCATAAAAAAATGAGCTCAGCACAGAAAAGTATATGGAACAAAGAAACCAGGAACACCATGAAAAAACAAAATGACAGCAACAAATTAATACTTGTTGATAATTACACTGAATGTTAATGGATTAAATGCACCACTCAAGAAATGGGGAGTTGCAGACTAGATAAGAAAACAACAATATGCGGTCTAAAAGAGACACAACTTAGAGACAAAGACAAAAATAGACTAAAAATCAAAGATTGGAAAAAGATAAACAAATGGCAACCATAAAAGAGCAGGAGTGGCAATATTAATTTCTGATAAAACTGACTTTAAGACAAAAACCACCATAAGGGACAAGGAAGGACATTTATATAGTGATTAAAAGATCAATTGAACAAGAGGACATAATCATAATAAGTATCTATGGACCCAATGATACAGCCCTCAAATACATAAATCAGACTTTAACAGAATTGAAAAGACAAATAGATGACTCCAGTCATAGTAGAAGACTTGAATACACCACTTTCAATAAAAGATGTATCTTGTGCTAAATTGTGGTCATTGTCATGAGACAAAGTGTATGTGATTTGCTGTATGGAAAGTGTATTTGCTCTGTAAATTTTCACACAAATCACAATTTTATATATATATATATATAATAAAAATAAAAATAATAAAAGATGTATCAACTGGGAAGAAAATCAACAAACACACAGAAGAATTAATACAGTCTACCAACTTGACCTTATAGACATCTACAGAGCACTTCACCCCAAAACAGTACAATATATATTGTTTCACAGTGCACATGGAACATTCTCCATGATAGACCATATGTTAGGCCACAGAGCAAGCCTCAAAAAATTTAAAAACACTGAAATACTGCAAAACATCTTCTCAGATCACAATGCTATAAAATTAGAAATAAACAACAGGAAGATCAAATATGTGGAAAAAGAGAAAACACATGGAAAATGAATAACACCTTCCTTGAAAATGACTGGGTAATAAAAGACATAAAACATGAAATTAAAAAATTCATTGAATCAAACGTCCAATTTATAGCAATAAATGTACACATCACAAAAGAAGAGAGTGAAAATAAACACCTTAACCCAACATTTCCAACAATTAGAGCTGTAAAAAGAGGCTACAGTCACTAGAAGAAAAGAAATAATAAAAGACTGGAGCAGCAATAAATGAAACAGAAAATAGACAACAAAAAATCAATAAGACTACAAGTTATTTTTTTTTTTTTTAAAGATTAATAAAATTGACAAACCACTGGCAAATTTAACAAAGGAAAAGAGGGAGAGAATACAGATAACATGAATAAGAAACAAATTGGGCAGCGTCACTACAGAACCAACAGAAATTGAAAGGGCAATGCTTTGGTTACCTAGTGCTGGTCTGACGGGAATATACCACAAGTGAGATGGCTTGAACAAACAGGAGTTTATTATATTACAGTT